AATATTTATTTGTATTTGTAGCAAAACTATAGATGCGTTATTATTCAATTTTAATATTAATAGAGTAATTTCCCTGGATAGTCACCCATGTTTGGGAAATTACCTTGGAATATCACTTATGTTTGTTTTAGGACCACAATATCACCCAACTTTACCTCTTTTCCTCAAAATATACTTACACAAAAAAAACATTATCTCTCTCCTAATAGGATGCCATGTCACATTATTCCTTTTTCATTATTAACATTTTTTAAAAAAAAATTTAGACAACCCATATTACCTAGTAAATTTTTTTTACATAAGCCCAAAAATTTCTACCCTAGTTCTAGGGGATTAGGCGGCAAATCCAAATATGAGCTCCTCCGGTTCTTCAAGAAAATATGTGGCTTCCTCCGATTTTTCAAGCGACATAATGTTTTTATATGGGCACTAATGGACAATGACACCTTTTTGTTTAGTCCGGAGCCAAAAGTGCAACTTTTTTTTCTTTAAAAAACAAAAGCGGCACATCAAAAAAAAATTTAACCAACAGGGCAAAATCACTCCTGACAGAGCGATTTTGTTCTGACAAAAATTGACGCCGCTCCGCTAAAAGAAATAAAAATCGCTGCCGATTTTCTCAAAAAAATATTTGTTCTTTAAAAATCGCTGCTATAACAGCGTTTTTATATAAAAAAAATTAAAAGCAAAATCGCTGCTATAGCAGCGATTTTGTTTAAGAAATTAAAAAAAAAAATCGAAGTTAAATCTCTGCTATAGCAGTGATTTTGTTTAAGAAATTATTTTTTTTTTAAAAAAATCCTACCCTTGTAGAGAATTTAATAAAAATTTTAAAAATTAAAACTGAAGCCAGCGATTTTCATGAAAAGTTTTTTTAAAAAAAATCTTTACCCTTTTAGCGATTTAAATGAAAATTAAAAAAAAATTAAAACTGAAAATCGGTTTCTTTAAAAAACTTGTTTTTTTTTTAAATGGCTGCCGCCAGAAATTTATGTAATTTAAAACTTGTTCTTTATGTTTTATTTTAATTCCTTAACAAAAAATCGCTGCTATAGCAGGGATTTCACTTTTAATTTTTTTTATATAAAAACGCTGCTATAGCAGCGATTTTAAAGAAATAATGATTTTTTTTTTTGAGAAAATCCTTGTCAAATGGAGCGATTTTTATTTCTTTTAACGGAACGACGTCAATTTTTGTCAGAAGAAAATCGATCCGTCAGGAGGGATTTTTCCCTTTTGGTTAATTTTTTTTTTTGATGTGCCCTTTTTATTTTTTGAAGGAAAAAAATGACCCTTTTAGCTTCGGACTCCCTTTTTGTTGATATTTTAATTCATTAGAGTAATAAGGTAACCATATTGTCAAACTACAAAGGATATAATGTTTTTAAAGAATTTTAAAAAATGTTAATAATAAAAAAGGAATAATGTGACATGGCATCCTATTAGGAGAGAGATAATATTTTTTTTGTGTCAAGTATATTTTGAAGAAAAGATGTAAAGTTGAGTGATATTGTGATCCTAAACAAACATAAGTGATATTCCTAGGTAATTTCCCAAACATGAATGACTATCCAGAGAAATTACTCTAAATTGTGATGAAATGCATTTAGTTCTTAGAACGATGATTTCCATAGATATGTGACAAGCAATTTAAATATTTATTTGTATTTGTAGCAAAACTATAGATGCGTTATTATTCAATTTTAATATTGTATTGTTTGGATAATAATTAAAACGAAAATTGTTTAGTAATCCATATATATCAATTTATATAGGCCAAAATCTATTTTATTAGTAGTTTTATTTTTGCAATTTCAGCTTATGGTTTCTCAATTTCTCTCACTTGTGTGTAAGAAGGTTATTTTACAACATAAGGTATCACAAAATGGATAACTAATAAAAAAATAACTTTTGCAACCAAGAGAAAATGTATAACAATAAAATTATGATAGAGTAATAAGTACTTATTTTTAATTAGGAATTTGAATTTGAGTTTTATTGAGTCATTTTTATTAAGTGTGCTTTGTTTTAAAATGTGATTTTTTTTTATACGAATTAAAATTTAATCGAGTTTCAAGTACTTATTTTTAATTAGGAATTTGAATTTGAGTTTTATTGAGTCATTTTTATTAAGTGTGCTTTGTTTTAAAATGTGAATTTTTTTATACGAATTAAAATTTAATCGAGTTTCAATATAAATATTAAATAAAAATAGAAGAAAATTGCTTTTGCAAGATTTTCAAGGATGATATTCTAGTGGAACTACTTTAGTACTTCGATAACTTCCATAGACTTATATATAGTATGATATATCAAGCTTTTTAAAAGTTTCTGACAATACCAAACTTTTGATTCGATTTGCATTATTTGACAGAAAGATTACTCGTTTACTCCTTATATTTATATGAGGGACATTATAGATTTTTTTTAAAAAAAATATTACGCGAGAAAAATTATTTTCTAGGTCACCTACATTTCTTTTGGTTAATTTTATAATTATTTTTATAAGATATTTTCATTTTCATACCTAAGAGATCTGCATTTTTTTGTTCATTTGAAGTAGCGAAGAGATCTTAATTCCTCAAATTATGCCGAAATTAAGTTAGAATACAGGTTATACTTTAGTCGAACTTAATAGTTTTAGTTCGGATGTTCTATTTTTATTTTTAAAATTCATAAAATATGTATACATTGTTAATTTAGAACATAATAATTTAAAGGCATAAAACATAAATAAATTACCTTAGTTGATAAGTAAACACTCAAATTTTGAGTATGCACATCTAGACATATTAACTCGTCTTCAATTGTCCAATTCATCCCTATTATGTCTCGTGGATATCCGACGCTAACCTGACATATAGATTTTGAAGATGTCTAGATAATTATTTTGTAAGTTGGAGTATTCAATTGATACAATAAAGACGATAGAAATGTCTAGATATAATACTCAAAATAGAGTGCTTACTTGTTAGCTAAAACCAAGTTTATATATATATATATATATATACTATATCTAATTTAAATAATAAACTAGAATCTCATACTCATAAGCTTAATAATATTTGTGTAACGAAGTCTTAGGGACCACCATTTCGTATTCCAACCATTTTTTGACAGTTTTGTTTTGGAAACCAAGTCTTTTTACATAAGAAAAAGTATATTTTTTTTAAATATTATTCTTGTTTATCACATTTTACTTGATTTTTTTCAAGAATATTTAAGATTTTATTTTGTAATATATGTGGTTAGGGGTATTTTCATTTATGGATTATGGAAGGACAAAAAGACAGTAATTTTATTTCCATATTTTTTGATGAAGGGTGATTAATTGAAGATATTTCGTAAAATTGTCCCCACAGGCCACAACATAAATGTGACATGAACCAATCACAATTTCATTTTATAAAACTTTAATAATTAACGAAATTGTTTTAGTACTCATATTTTGAGTGATTACACAAAAAATTCAAGTTCCTTTTAAGCTTCATTCTTAATCAATAATATCTATAGTTATCATATCATATCATATTATCATTACATTGTTAGTTTTGAGTTCTTTACATTTAATTGGTAGTGGTAAGGGGAAAATTACGATCTAAAATATGTTATATATTCATGTATGGTTATATATAAAAAAATTGTGAATTCTAAGATTTAACTCAATCTCAAAAACTAATTTAAAAGATGAAGATGGTTCAAACTCATATTAAATACACCATATTATTATGGGATATGTTCAACTGTTCAACACTATGAAATCATGCTATTAAAAATAAAGTAAAAAACAAAAAAAAATAAGTCTTATTTCTTTTTGACAGAATAAAAAAGAAAAAGAATTATTCCCTTCGTCTCATTTTATATTTTATGTGAAGTAGTTTGACTCGACACAAAGTTTAAGAAAGCAATGAAGATTTTTAAAATTTGTGATCCAAAATGAATGATAGAAATTTGTGTGACTGAAAATCATTTCATTGAGAATAAAATAAATATTTTATAGTTAAATTGTTACTTAATATATAAATATTTATTTTTTTGGAATTGACTAAAAAGGAAAATAAGTCACATAAATTGGGATATAGGGAGTAATATATAAAATAAAATGTGATGATCTAAAAGAATTGTAGAAATTAGATGTCCATTATGACAAATCAAAAAAATACAAAATCTTTTTACTTATTATGCCTCAATTAATTAATTTTGAAAAAGGTAGAACTTTTTGAAAATCTTAAAATTTTAATTTATACACTTTATAATCAATAGGAATAAAATGGTACATTTATTGTGTCAATCATTATTTTCTTAATAGATATGTCGATTCAAAAGTGGACAAATAATTAAGGAGAGCGAGTAATATTTTATATTCGTAAGTAGGGGTGGTTAATGATCAATAAGCTCATTTTTTGATGCAGGCGTGGGTATAAATGCAGAGAACCTTTGTATGTAAGCTTTCTTTTTTAGTTCCTTCAAATACCTAACTCTTCTCTCTTTTAACTCTGCTTTTCTAATATTGTGACTCTATCTTTATTGCTTTCTGCTTGTTTTGTTTCTCTTATAATCTTCCTATAGTAACTACTGTATATTGCACTTTGAAAATTCAAAGTAAAAAAAAACAAACAATGAAGACATTGTACATTCTGTAACATTTCAAAAAATAAAAAAAGAAGTGTACTGTGTACAGACTACAGACTACAGAGTAACAGCAAAATAAGGTATCTTTCATCCTTTCTTGCCACTTTTGGGTCTTGTCCTTCTCAGTTTCAGAGCTGAGCTTAGGAAGTTGAGTCTCTGAGTGAGTATTTATGATAGCTGAAATTAATATCTCTTATTATTTTCAATTTACTTTACTTCTGAACACTTTCTTGAACATTTATTGAACTGGGATTGTGTTTTCTAGGACATTGGTGGCACTTCAATTTTTTTTGAAGCAAAGCTTGAGACTTTGTTTCTCCCTTTGTGTGTATTGAACTGGGGTTGTGTTTTCTTGGACATTGGTGGCACTTTTCTTTGTAATTTTGAAGCAAAGTTTGGAACTTTGGTTCTTCCTTTGTGTGTATTGAACTGGGATTGTGTTTTCTTGGACATTGGTGGCACTTTTCTTTGTAATTTTGAAGCAAAGTTTGGAACTTTGGTTCTTCCTTTGTGTGTATTGAACTGGGATTGTGTTTTCTTGGACATTGGTGGCACTTTTTTTTTTCTTTTTTTGGTAATTTTGAAGCAAAGTTTGGAACTTTGGTTCTTCCTTTGTGTGTATTAACTGGGATTGTGTTTTCTTGGACACCGGTGGCACTTTTTTTTGGTAATTTTGAAGCAAAGTTTGGAACTTTGGTTCTTCCTTTGTGTGTATTAACTGGGATTGTGTTTTCTTGGACACCGGTGGCACTTTTTTTTGGTAATTTTGAAGCAAAGTTTGGAACTTTGGTTCTTCCTTTGTGTGAATTGAACTGGGGTTGTGTTTTCTTGGACATTGGTGGAGTTTTCCTTGTAATTTTGAAGCAAAGTTTGGAACTTTGTTTCTCCCTTTGTGTGTATTGAACTGGGGTTGTGTTTTCTTGGACATTGGTGACACTTTTCTTTGTAATTTTGAAGCAAAGCTTGGAACTTTGTTTCTCCCTTTGAGTATGTTGAACTGGGATTGTGTTTTTTTGGACATTAGTGCCTTTTTTTTTTTTCTGTTGGTAATTTTGAAGCAAAGCTTGGGACTTAGGTTCTCCCTTTGTGTGAATTGAACTGGGGTTGTGTTTTCCTGGGCATTGGTGACTTTTTTCTTGGTAAATTTGAAACAAAGTTAAGCTTGGAACTTTGTTTCTCCCTTCTTGTGTATTGAACTGGGATGCTGTTAGTTACCTCTTTTCCAGTTGTTTGGGAGCAGGTAGCTTGACTGATTTCTCTGTGCTGCTTTTTTACCAAGCTTCTTGGAGGAATTCTCCTAAATTTTCTGGTGTAGTTACTTTCTTAGTTTTATTTTCATCTGTTGAACTAGATCTTTTGAATTATTTTTTTAATCATTAGGCACAAAACTAGAATCTTGTTCCTTCATTTTCTCTACCTGTATGGATGTGTAATGAAGTGGAGGCGTTTCACCAGCTGAGCAATCAATCCCTCTCGTCTGGACAAGGATCTTTGGAAGTGCCAATTGTTTGATGTGTATCTTATAGATTGTTTCCTGCTAATCAAATCTTGAGGCAAGGCAAGTTGTTTATTTAGTTTGTGTAAATTTGATTCATTTCCAAATAATGGATATGGGTAGCAAGAATGATACTCAAGGACAAAAGAGGAACAAGGATGCGGCGAATTTTCAGTCACCAAATATGTCGTTGGACTGGCAATTAAGTGGCAGCAACTTGACAAATGCATCCATGGGAATGATCCCTAATAGCAATCCTTTAGTAGATTCAGTTTTTCCCACTATTTGGGATCGGCCTACCAATTCGCCACAGTTAAATTTCTATGGTAATAATGCTCAAACCAATCCTTGCACTATGAATCAGCACGAGATTGCAGCAATTGGCTTGGGCCCTGCGAGAGGTGTTATGAGTTGGAATCCACCAAATGCTATGCTGAAAGGGGCTATGTTTGTACCGCCTATTCCTGGAATGATTCCTCAAAGCTTAGCTCAGCTTCCAGCTGATTCGGGGTTCATTGAGAGAGCTGCAAGGTTTTCGTGCTTCAGTGGAGGAAACTTCAGCGATATGATGAACCGGCCTTTAAGCGTCCCTGAGTCTACTAAGCCTTGTTATAGGGGACTGGCACCAACATGGAGAACGGAAGAGGTTCTTGCAAGCAACGGGTTAAACTCACCCTCTGCTGTGGACCCTCGGAAGCAGAACATACGAAGTGGTGTTGATAGTTCCAAAGATGTTTATTTACCTCATGAGAACAAGACTCATGAGCAAAGCCCTCTCAAGAATGAGAAAAAGAATGAAATATTTGCTAGGTCTCAGGATGAAGGAAAAGAATCAGTTGGATTGTCTGGAAATGAGTCTGATGAGCCTGAATGTAGTGGCCGTCAAGAGGAAATGGAAAGTGCCGGATTGGAGTCTTCCGCGAAGGGCCTTGGCTCAAGGAAAAGGAAAAAATATAGTCAGGTAGGACATTATTACTATGTTCTCTCCCAACCATTATAGCTACAAATGATTCCTTACTGAGTGTTCTTATAAATTTTGGCAGGGTACCGAGCTTGATCGAATGAAGGGAGTACAACAGCTGCCAGCTGAACCTGATAAAGAACTAACTAAAACTCAGAAAGGAGACGGAAGCTTACATTCACCTTCTAGCAAGCATGGTGGAAAAAACAGTAAACAGAGGTCTCAATCTTCAGATCCACCTAAAGAAGAATACATACATGTTCGAGCTCGAAGAGGCCAGGCAACGAACAGCCATAGTCTTGCAGAAAGAGTAAGACTTCATAGTAGAAGCTTTAAGTTAGGGGATTTTACTTGTTTCGGAAATGATTTGAGCTGTCGTGATTCTAGGTAAGGCGAGAGAAAATAAGTGAAAGGATGAAGTTTCTGCAGGATCTTGTACCTGGTTGCGACAAGGTTTGTTTTATCGTTATACATATGGAGAACTTCTAATAGGCATTTGTTGTTCATGTTATCTCGGGCTTGAATTTTCAGGTCACTGGTAAAGCTGTAATGCTGGACGAAATCATTAATTATGTTCAATCTTTGCAAAGACAGGTTGAGGTATGAAAGCTATTAATTGATCCTTGGCTCATTTTTTCAAAATCGTATCTGTTCTTTCCTCAATGCCAAGTGAATTTTTTGGTTGCTTCACAATATGCTATTCAATGTAAACGGTTAAACTATTCCCTCCCCTTACTCCTATTTGCTTATCTCATGCTGAAGTAATTTTGTCATAAAAAAGTTTAAGAAATGCTGTTCATGGCTCTTATGTGCTTATGAATCTCTCTTGTTATTCTCACAGTTCCTCTCGATGAAGCTTTCAACAGTAAACCTGCGGCTAGATTTTAATCTTGATGGGGTCCTTGCAAAAGATGTAAGAACTAGTATAACCTTCAGAACGGAAATTACACAAAGCAGAGTTCGGTGCATAAATTCCTGTTACTAATTCTGGTATATACATTTGTCTTTTATTGCAGCCACAAGCAGGTCCTTCGTCCTCACTTGCGTTTCCACCTGATTATATGACCATGACTTATGCTTCTTTGCATGGATGGCAATCTGGTCTGCTTCAATCAGGTCTTCCTGGTGATGGAAATTGTATTGATGCGTTCCGTAGATCCATCAATTCCCAATTCTCCACTATGAGTGGTGGCTACAGGGATCCTTCATCTCAGGTAGTATTTGGATAGCTACACCTTTCAGGTTTTAGGTTGTATCAATCACAGAGGCGGAGCTAGGATTTTTAGTTTATGGATTCTGAACCACAGTTCTTGATAGTTTTTTGTACATATTAAATGGATTTTAAACACATATATGGGGTTTGAGCCAAAGATACTAGTTTTTTGCCGAACCCGTAACCTACATTGTGGCTCCGCCCCTGATTTGTCATATTTGTAGAAGAATACGTGGCATAATGAGTTGCGAACCGAAGGAACCTTGCTTCATGTTCTAACTATTCGCCTTGCAATTCATATCGTTTTCAGGTACCTAATGTATGGGATGATCAACTGCATAATGTTGTGGATATGGGATTCAATTCAACCGCGCCCCTCGATTGTCAGGATTTAAGTAAGTGTGTTACGTGTTCCTATGTAGTTTCCTCTTTCTAAATTAGCATCAGCTACCCTAATGATCTCTGAACTCTCTGTACTTTTAGGTTCTTTGCCACCCGACCAAATGAAAACAGAACCTTGAAATGTTTCAAATTGTCAACCGAATACACTTTCCATTTCTCTGGGGAGTAAGTTGCATAGATCATCGTAGCACTAAGAAAGATAATACGTTTGGGAAGTATCACGCGGAGTCCCCATCTCTTAAATAGTGCTCCCGCCCCCCGCCGGAGGAGTTCTGAGTTCAGTTGTACAGCAAGTCCACAAAATGTTCCCTTTTTATGTTCATTCTATATAGGTACAAAAAGTGAAGATTTATACAACATGATTGTGAGATTCTTCCATCAACAAATGCAAATGAGGGTTCAAGAATTATGCGTTCCGTTCCGGTCCGGATACTATATGCAAGCCTCTACCTTCTGCGTTCACTCTACACTCTCCAGACCGCACTTTGTGGAATTACATTGGGTATGTTGTTGTTGTTGTTGTTGTTGATACTATGTACAAGGGAGAATAGTCATTCATGTTTTAGTTATAATCTGTTGTATCATTGAAAGATGAAATGGTTGTACCCTTAATATGTATTGGAAGAAACTTGACAAATGTGAGATTTGTATGAAAAAAAAGAATGAATATGAATATATTAATGTAGTTCTTGAATTTCCATGCGTATCTGGATTAGTTAAGTTTCACATAAAATAGTTAGAATTTGATTTTGTTACTTTTTTTTTTTGGTCATTGTACAGCAAATTATATGGTAGAAAGATGCCATAATGATATGTGTACTGTCTTTACCTACATTATCACATCAGTCAGTGAAATGGGGTCATGGAATTAATAAACAACTGAGTTGATAAGATTCTCTGTACCAGATGTCTAATAATCTTACAAGTTTCCAGGAAAAAGAAAAAAAAATAAGAAGTTTAGGTGGGATAAGAGGAAAAAGAATAGCATTAAAAATCTTCCAATATTCTGTTTGAAATGGGGATTGATTTATAGGGTATGTTTGATACTGAGGAAAACATTTTCTTTTATTTTTTGATGTTTGGATGGATAAATTTTTTGGAGAACATTTTCTTTAGGAAAATAAGTATTTTAAAAATAAGGAAAATGACCTCATTGAAATAGGGAAAATTAGTTTTATAAGTGACATTTTATGTTTATTGTATTCCCCAATCCAGTGGTGGATGCAGGGTTTCTATTGGGTTCGGAAAAAAGAGAGTAGTGCCTAAGATTTGATCTTGGAACCTCAAGGTGAGCTTTGAACTCCTCAACCATTAAGCCAACCTCTAATCTTACATTTAGGAAGTTCAAAATCAATATATCAACATAAAAAATCTTTAAAATACCTTAAATATACAACATAATTTTTTGCCGAAAGGGATTCAGGTGAACTCCCTCGACAACCTCTAGGTCCGCCCCTGCACCCACCCATTCAATGCCCCAACTCCTACCCCTTTATTAAGAAGTCCCACATCGGAAAAAGGATGGACAATTGATCTCCTTATATGGACTTGGACAATCTATTTCTCCTAAACTAACTTTCGTGGTTGAGTTGAGTTCAAAATTCATCTTTATGTTGGTCCCCCATATTTTATTGTCCATGCTCCAGTTCACGAAGTCTGGGTCCCACATCAAAATTGATCACCTCATATGAACTAGTGCAATTCTCTCTTTATAAGCTAATTTTTCGAATTAAGTTAGACCCAAAATCCATTTTTACATCCTTGACCATCTCCACCCAACCCACCTCTCACCCTCATAGGTTTTTGCTAAATTACTTAACTCCACGCACCTCTCATTGGTTTTTGCAAAATTACTTATAAATGTTCTTGAGTTAATATTTTTTTCTTTAATTACTAAACACTAGAAAATAAATAAAAAATCAATTTGTTTTTCAAATAAATATTTTCTTTCATGAAAAATATTCTCTTTCCTACCAAATACACCCTTATATATTAAGGAGTTAATAATTCACATTCCATTATTGTGTTCATCAAAGAATTCTATTAAATGTATTATTGATTATTCTAATAGTCACACTTTATCAAAAGGATCCAAAGTTGGTAGAAAGATTTGTTTCCATTTCCATCAGATCTCTTATCATTTACAAGGTCATAAAAGCTAGCTACTTTATGAATGTTTATCTATATGTTAGATGAGGTTGTGAATAAAATTATTTAATGTGATTTGTTGGCATCTGAACATCTTGATTGTTTCATTTTCTTTTTCTACTACAAATTGTGAATATTTGAATTGCGTGCAAATCTTTATAACAAA